CCCCCTCCGTAGCCTGCCAGAGCAGCAGGCAGTGAGAGTTTCACACCTCTGGCCCTCTTCTTCCTACAGCTCCCCAGCAGCCAAACCCCAGACGGCCTCCAGCAAGCTGCCCCTACTCCTCCGCTGCTTGCAATACCCGTGCTGGCAGCAGCCTCAGCTCTGCCGAGGCCAAGGTCACCCCATGGCCAAAGCCCAACAGTCCCCCACTGCCCCACCTGCACCTGCACCCCCAGCACTGCTGATGGACCCCAGTACAGCACACCCTAGGGAGAGCACAGAGTCAGCAGCAAGTCAATAGTGTCTCATTAATAGCGTTGTCAATAGATAGAGCTTGATAGAGTTGGTAAGAAACACAGCCTAGTAGAATTGGTAATAAACTGTTTGGACAATAAACCTTTCCCAGTTGTCCTCTCCTATTTGCACAGCACAACCCCAGTTTGAGTTCCTGTTTCACCACCCACAGAAGCAACGTATCTGCCACCCATTCTGGTGAAGAGCCCAGCCTGATTTCTCAGCACTAGCGAGTAAAAGGCAGGATGAGGGTTGCACGGTGCATGCACCAGGGATGCTCTTCCTCGTGACATCTATGAATGAGAGCTCCTCTCTCCTGCAGAGACATTGTCCCAAGGCCGTCCCAGGAAACCAGGATCTCACAAGTCCTGGGATTTTTCAGATGACACAGCTGGGCCACAGGACCATGGCTCAGCTTTTACCAGGAGGAGTCAACTCATTGCCCGGGAACTGCAGGAAGAATCTCTGATACGAGCATTTACCAAGACACAGTTTAGCAAAGAGGATTTAACTGAAGCATCTAAACAAGCTGCTGCTTCATGCTGGCCTTCCTTTTTAATGAGCAGGGGGTTAATTTCTTCATGAGCGATGGCTTGCCACACGTGCTGCAGAGGATGGTCTGTGCTTTGCAGTGGTTTACGTTAACCAGCGTAAGAAATAAAGGTGCAAGTTTATAAGTCCCCGGTAAACGTGCAGCGCTATGCAGCACGGTCCCATCACAGAGAGATTGCCCAAATTAGGGCCTAAAATCAGAACACTGAGTATGTGATTCCCCCACCCCACATTGAACATCCAGATGAAGATGCCAACATCTTCATCTAAGCTGGACTGAAGGTGCAATGTGTCACCTCATGCCTTCTCCCGATCACTTTAAAATAGGCATTGCTGATTCAGTAGCCTGGGTTACAGAAATCGGTGATCTTGCGTATCATTCCAGGGTTAAACTGGTGTGCATAAATGATCCAGGAGACAATCAAAGCGGGGACGCTGGTTTCACACTGCAGCATGTTATGCCTGTGGAGGGGCAGGGGACCCACACACCTCCAGCTGCAGCCATATCTTTTCATCCCTCTCGCCTCCCATTGCTGGCCGCTCCCCATCAGTTCCCCTTTTCCTCATCCTCCTCCCCCACTACCCCCCTTCCTATGTCTTTTCCCATAAATTTTTGTCTTTTTTTTTTTTCTGACTTCTCTGAGGCGTTACACTCCCAGACCCAATGCACCAGCCTTGGCAGCATCGCAAGGCACCACCAGTGTCGCTGGGGGACCCTCCCACCCCAAAACATGCCGTGGCAGAAGACAAAGAGATGCTTGTGGGTGCCTACCAGTTTTATTAGTGGTGCCATGGTCAGGTTCCCAACCCCACAGCGAGGGTGCTGGAGGCACAGGGTGGTGTCACCCTGCCCGCCCCGGAGACCCCGGTGCAGGGGGGTAGGTCACTCAGCGAAGCGCTGGGTGTTGCAGCGGGGTCCCTGCCATTCATCGTAG